CTTTTCTTTGATTAATTAGTTCTTCATCTGTGTCATAAGTATAGAGTAAAACAATATGTTTAAACTAAGCTACACACAACCAGACACAAACTTTCATGGAATTATTGAACAAACCCATGAAACGTTTGCAGTGCTGGTGGAAGAAGTAAGTGATCCCTTAAATATAATGTAAATGTAGGAACTGGTCAAACCTCCTCTGGCAGCAGTAGCACGCCTTTCTGGTAGCTGCACAAAGTTCAGGAGCCACTTTGTATATTATTCCCAACAGAACTCTGTCAGCACAGCTATATTTGAGGTAGTTTTACCGCAATGCTTTTGGGTTAAGGTGTTTCATGGGACTGGGCCACTCCTAAAAGCAGAATTATTTAGTTTGAAAGCATTTTGTAGTAAATATGCTTAATTGTTTTGGGTCATTATGCGACAGCAACTCGACATGATGCTATAAGGTGGTACCCTTCTAAATTTGGTAATTCAATTCTGTCAATGATTGGAAGCTGTCCAGGACGGTATCTTCACAGTCATATGCTGAAGCCTTTTTACACCAAAGTCGTGTCGCATATTTTTGCCAAACTAATAAATGTTAGTCTCATCAGACCACAAAGCATTTTTCCAGCTGAAATTTCTGGTTCACAGTGATGTAACTTTTGAGAAAACCAGCTTTTTTACCTCATTGAACACTCTACACTGAACCTTAAATCATCTCAGCTGGGTACCCACTTCTAGAGCGAGTAGATTACAGCAATAAATCTTCATTTATACTCAATCTGTCTAACTTTGGACTTATGAATGTCTAGAATCTTTGAGATTGCCTTTTTTCTAGCTTTATCAAATACTTTTGGTCATACGTCTTCTGGGATCTCTTCTTTTCAAGGCATGGTTCTCATCGGTTGATGCTTCTCCAACTGTTGGAGTCTTTTTTTTATATCAGCATTTCTAACCCAGACTTTCAATCTTGTCTCATTGATTGGACTTGGACTTGAAGTATGCCAACTCCTGATTCTAGTTAGCTTTTGTTGATGTCATTATATTGGGGTTCACATACTTTTTCCAAACTGAAAGTTTGAGTGATGTGTTCTGTATGAACAAGATTTGTGTGTTATTCTCAAAAGCAGTTTGAATTTGTTCACGACTGTAACTTAGATGAAGATGTGGCTGTGTTTTAAGACATATTACAATATTTATTCTACGGTATGTGCAGCCGCTTTCCTCTATAAACTACCATTCAGCTGCACATATGTTCAATTGAAGCCTCGCATGTGTAGAAATACATAAAGATACACACATGCTGACCCTGTGTCTCGTGAATGAGAAGAATAGATTTTTTATTCGCTTCAGTTTCACCCCCAAGAGACAGATTTAAAAAGACTCTACTTCGGTCATGGACCTCGTAGGAGGAGGCTGAGGAGGAGGAGGAGGAGGCAAAGGGGGCGCTGCTCATGTGTTCCCTTCATTGGGGGGAGAGGGAGGAAGGAGGATAAAAGGGAGGTGGAGGAGAAAGATGTAGGAGAGGTTAACTGTTGAAAATGGAGAGGTTCAGTTAGAGGTCCTGCTCCTGTGATCCTCTGGGGAAGAAATTGGGGAAGTTGTGTGTGTGTGTGTGCGCAGATCTGAAAATGGCAGGAGAACAGTAAATCACTCCTGAGAGAAAGGAAGAGATTCTGCTGTGGACAAAGAGGATGGTGTGAATGACTGTGATGAAAGAGGAAAAGTGAGAGCAAAAGAGAGACAGGCGGAGAAAGGAGAAAAGAGTCATTGCTTGGAAAAAGTCAGGATTGGAGGTGGTAGTAGAAGAATGGAGCTCAGGGTAGGGAAGAAAAAAGGTACCAGGGGAGCACTACGAGTCCTGGAAAATACGATTTCAATCTGCTCGAGAAATAGACGAGAAGAAGAAATGGACAGAAATAAATAGGTATAGAGACAGAACATGCATGTGTATATGAAATAAGGAAGTAGTTCAAATGGAACCAGACATATCCATGCAGGTAACCAGGAAAGAAAACAAACAGGCTGGAAAAGGAGAAAGAGTGAGCTGTTGGGCCCCTGATGAGAAAGCCATACAGCTTTGTATACCAGAAATGAGGATGGAGGGAGGAGAGAGGAGGAGAGGCTCCTGTGAATGCCTCCGTGTGACTAATGCCTTTTTCACACGTTTCACTTCCATCCATCCATCATTGTGTCCACCTACTGCTCCCCTGTTAAAACAACAGCCCATCATTACTGCACAAACTACAATCTGCCATAAGTGTTCCCCTAGTTTTATATGTTCTCACCTTTTCAGCCTAATTTGTACTCTGCTTCATCATGGTCATGTCCTACGTCCCCCAACTCTTTTATGTTAATCATGGTGGCTATTGCTCATGCCAGTTATAACATAAATACTTACAGGCAAATGCAACTGAACTCTTACTGGATTTTTCTGGAGAAAGACCTTTTGAAGATACTTCTGGTCTATTACAGCATTGTATTTTTATTGCCCATCATTTTTACATGTCAGTGTGGAAAATGAGGCATTATTACTAACATTTCAGGAGTACTCAAATATTGGTTTCCCTCCACATGAAGTGATTTAGATCGTCTGTAACTCTGTAACTTGGAATGTGCGTCATTGGACTTCATTATAGCAATTTTACCACATTCCTATGTCTCAACAATTACTTTTGTGCAAAGACGCAACTGACAGAAATAAATGCAGATGTTTTAATAAACTGGAATGCAACTTTTAATCAAATAAGTAATACTTCTATATGTCCCTTTGGTGAAATTGTTTTTGTCTTGTAAAGCAACGCCACTTTTTATTGCACTTAACACAACAGACACAATCCAAAAAAAAAACTTAAAACGCTATCAGAAGCCGACCAATATACAATAGGTGACCTCTACAGCACTTAATAAACCATTTTCACAAGGACAAATGAAAGGTCTCCGTAAACAATGTGTGACAAGCAAGTATCAGACAAAAGTTGTAATAATTTAAGCAAATGTTTGTGCTGCGTTTCAGACCATGTTTGCATGTTTCTACCATGTATCAGGGTGCGTATGTATTCTGCTTGATAAGCCTCTATCAGCCACATTGTTAACATGAACCACCTTTTGTCCTTCCTTTAAAATGTTTAATCTACAGGACATGACCTGAAGGGCTTGTTTTATGGTGGATTTCCTTACAATGGCCTCTTGTTAGTCAGGGCATTGTTTGCTACATGGTGGCCTATTATGTGTTTTTTTCTTTTTTTGGAGAGTATTGTTTTAACCTTAAAGGAGATTTGAAAGGTCAAACAGAGATGTACAGTCTGCGCTGAACCTTGCTGACTCCTCCACCCCTCCTGCTTCCACCACTCGATCTTCCTGTTTGTCTTTCTTTGTATGCCTCTCCTATTGGGCCATATTTCATTCCCTTCCTCTACTCCCTTAAATTCCATCCTCCCTTATTCCCTTCATTTCCCCCTTGCTTCTCCTCTTACGTTCCCTCCCTCCTTCCTCTCTCTCTCTCCCCCCCTCCTCATCTCTATTTGTTCTCTCCATCACCCCCACTTCTTTCCATCATTTCCTCCCACCTTTCCAGTTCAGTCAGGCTCCTTTTCCACCCTCTTTGTTTTTCTAGTGTGCTGTTTCATAGTAGACCAGCTACTGAGCGGTCAAGGTCACACCTGATTTTATGTCAGCACGGCTTTCCAGCTAAGATTAAACCTACTGCTTGGCTTTGTGTTTGCTCCCGGGGGATGCTGTTGTTGGCCGTGTCAAAATGGCAGCGTTTTAGTCAAGACATTAGGATGTTACGAAAGCATAAAGAAACATTTTGTGATTTTTTGCGGGAATACTAAAAGTGAATATGTGTCACTGTGAACTTGGAGATGTTGGTTAAGTCACGACACACATTACAAAAGGTCATCTTTATCTTAACCCTACATCTCTTGATGCATCCCAAAATGCTTCATGGGTTAGCTGCTTACCATATGTAAGGAAACCATACATTTTGCACTGGTGACACATTTCTAAAATCTAACATAAGAAATTTTGTATAGAATAGTGAAGTTTCACATGTGCTCTTCTGGTCACAGGGTTTACTCTGAATTTTTTTGTTTGTCGTGATGTAAGCGACTGTTGAGTCTCAAGTCAGAGTTGACTTGTTTTTCCAGGTTTTCCCCAAATGCAAAGTTAATAAGCATGAAAAAGGAACATCACAAATAAAAGCTGAACCTGAAAACAGGCTATCTGAAATGAAAAGCAAAGATAACCAGTATCTCTAGGTAAGATTATGTTATGTAAGGTTTTATATCTTTGCCAGTAGGGTTCAAAATGGCATCTTGAGGGAACAGTCTTCACTCTTTAGTCAAACAGTAGCTCTGTTTTCAAAACATATTTTCACACGCATTTTGAAGAATTGCATTAGAAAAAGTTTATGGACAAAAACTTGCCCACTTGTGAAAAGAAGTTCTTACGCTTAAGGTCATTTTTCATTTCATGACAAGTCGCCTGTATCGAGTACTAATTAGCTGCTTCCAGTTTTTTGTTGTCTTTGTTACTAAACAGTGTAAAACATGGACAGTATCAGCTGATGTAAAAGGATAATTCCACATTTTCCTTTTGAAAGTGGTTCCTATAGACTTCTATCCATTTTTTTTTCTTGTAGATTACTAAAGTTTTGTAAGTTTCTTCTTCTTCGTTGGGGTTTTTTAGCAGTTGGCAAGCAGCTGGTTTTGCTTCTGGCTTCTCCTCCTCTGTTTATTATAGCCCTTTGTAACATTACGTATACTGCCAACTTCTGATGACACTACGCAGTCTAGTTTATTCACCCCAAAGCGTTAATGGAAGCAAGTGTAATCCGCTGTTTTTCTTTTATACTTTAAAACATTTCAAAAGTTTGCTTCGAATTTGCTTGACAATTATATGGAAACACTGCTCGTGGGATATTATGTAGAATAACTTTCCTGTTCTTCCAAATTAAACCAGCTGGACTTTACTGCTACCGGTGGTAAATCTGTCTTTCTTGTTCGTCTCTCAAGGTCCCCCCAGGGTGTCAGAGCGGGTGAACCATCGTCAGAGCGTCCGCCTGGGTCGCACTGTGAAGCTGCCATGCCCGGTGGAGGGCGACCCCCCACCCCTCATCATGTGGACCAAAGATGGCCGCAACATCCACAGTGGCTGGACACGGTTCAAGGTGTTACAGCACGCTCTACGTATTAAAGAAGTGGAGGTGGATGATGCAGGGACTTACATCTGTAAGGCTACCAATGGGTTTGGCAGCGTAAACATCAACTACACACTCATTGTAATAGGTAAGTGTGTTGTGAAAACTCTTACATACATAGGACACTAATGCAAACATTTTAATGAAGTCAACAAATGAAGAGTTCATTTGCAAAAACAAAAACTGAAGTTGAGCGGATTTGAGTCAGTAGAAATGACATGACAAAAACAGAGATATTGTCTCAGGTAGACGATGGAAAAGCGGGTTTTCTGAAGGTTTGTGAAGATGGAGTTATCTGTTTTTGCAAATGAACTCTTCAAATGTAGAATAAACTGCATCAAGCAACACTTTAGGACACTTAGGGCGGCTGTGGCTCAGGTGGTAGAGCGGATCGGTCAATGATCAGAAGGTCGGCGGTTCGATCTCTCTCGCTCTGTAGCCTGTTTCATGGTCGTTGTGTCCTTGGACAAGACACTTCACCCACCTTGCCTGGTGTGAATGCGTATGAATGGATTGCTTGAGGTGGCGTTCGGAGGGGCCATAGGCGCAGAATGGCAGCCACACCTCTGTCAGGCTACAATCGTAGCTACCACCACCAGAATGAATGTGTGTGAATGAATAATTGACAGTTGATTGTATGTGCTTTGAGTTACTCTTACCTGAGTAAAAAAAGCACTATATGGAAGAAAAAAACTTTAATAGACTTGACACATAATAACAGAGCTGTGTTTATGCAGCTTGATCTCCCATATGTTACACACTCTGACATTTTTCAGACAAACTCGGCATAAATGTACAAATGTCTTGATTTATACACGTAGACTTTGTGCATCATTGGTTGAAGTTGTGTGAAATTGTGTATTTTATGTTCTTGGTGCAAGTCTGCATTTGATCTACTGTAGTCACAGCTTTCTATCTCCATTACACAGGCTTCATTCTTTTTCTTTTTTTTTTGTTTTTCTTTGTTATTTTTCATGCTTGCCTGCTCTTAACGACTGCTCTGTGAGTTAGGATATAATTAGCCGGTGGGGCCATTATACAGCAATCAAACTTGTGTAGTTCTACAGACAATGAAGCACTGCTGTTGTCTGCGTCTTCATGCTCGTGTGGGTGTTTGTGACCACAATTGTTGTGCTTGTGTGTTCCTGTATAAGTATGAATGAGGCATTTGTTAAAGTAGATGCTTGTATTTTTGCTCTTGCGATGTTTGTAAGACATTACATCAGTGTGGGATGTCACGTCTGTGCGGGCATCTCAATATATAAAAGAGACATTGTTGTGCCTTGTTCCTTGTTCCTTTTTTTTTCAGCACAATGAGCCTCAGTGCCCAGAAGGCTATATCTTTTGTTGATGTCTGGGTGTGCATATTTTCATATCTTTGTCTAAGTTGTGCAGCCTGTGAGTTGTCATGTAGTGGCTGTAGTGTGTGACCCTGTGGACTCTGACAGCCTTGCTTCTAAAATACAGGTGTGTGTTTTTTATAACGAGACTCAAATAGTCGCTTCCCTCAACTCGTATCCATGTAAACAAAATACCTGTTGGAAGGACAGTATGTCAGTGCACACTTACACATGCAAGCCTCTGTGTTTGTCCACTTGTGTGTCTGGGTCTGTGTGCCGGAGGATCTCCACACCCCGCTGTGTGTGCGTCCGTCATTCCATGTGTTTGTGCACATGCCACTGTGTGTGTGTGTGTGTGTGTGTCAGGTTTCAGTCAGTAGAGTGGATGCCAACAGGGAGATTAAGGCTGCACAGCGTTCCAGAGAATCTGACTAAAGCATCGCCCTCTGCCCAGCGTCGGCACTTCAAAGACAGGCTTGAGTAAAACGCTCCGATACAGATATAACCAGCCAATATTTTTTAGTATCTTAATGATTGTAGATGTTTATAGTATACTGAAAAACCTCTTGTGAAATTTAGATTCAATGCTGATGCTCAAGCTGACAGTTTAAAAAGTTATTTCTCTCAAAGACCTCAGATGAAAATCAAGTTTTTTACCTTGTCAACATGTCCATATGGTGTTCTTTCATACATCACAGAGGATTTCATGTGAAACAAAATCATCCTTTCAGTTACCAGGTTGGAGCTTTCTGTGTCATTCTTCTTGAGTTGAGTAGTTTTACAGGTAGTTGTAGATGAGCTTGTGTGCCAGAGCTGCAGCGAGCTGTGGGTGATGGATGGAGAAAACAGTGCAATCACATCTAAGCCATTTTCAGAAAGTAAGAGGTTATTTTCTTGGAAAAAGTTTTAATTGTTACATTTTGATGATATAAGACTGTTT